TACATCCAGGGACCACTGGCAACTGCTCAGCGGGGATGATAGTCAGAGCTGCCGTCCTTTGTTCACATAACAGTTTGCCTTCAGAAGTTCATCACTGGAAGCTTTCAAGAAGAGGCTGGACTGCCATCAGTCAGAAATGGTGTAGAGTCTCCTGCTTGGGCGGAGGGTTGGACTAGATGACCTTCAAGGTCCCTTCCAACTCTGTTAATCTGTTAAACGTGTGCTTTCCTAGATGCCAGTCTGCACTAAGCCTTGGGGAAAGGGAGCTGTGGGAAACCGAAAGTGACCTTGGTCCAGTCCCGAGACATCCCAAGGCTGCAGGCCTGGGAGTAGAATGCAATGTCTCACCATCTACTCTCCTGAATGTTGGGACCATTACGAAAACATCTTCTTCTAATGTGACTGGACAATGAGGAGATAATGAGGGTGGGTGGGTTTGGAACTGAAAAGGGAAAATTAACTACCAGTAGGGTATCTTTGCACACAAACTCTTACATCTGGCTTTTCTACTATAACCACTTGGCTCTTAGTAAAAGTAACCTTTCCCCTATGAATGGAGTCGAGAGTGTTTCTCTCCTAAGAGGCCAGAATGGGCAGGTCTGACAGTTATTGAAGCATGACATATATCTCACTATCCTCTAGAGGAAAGATACCTACTGATGCATTAAAGGAAACCACTAATTGGTGTGATTTCCAGGAGGGAAAGATATGTATTTGTTTGCTTTATAATAATGGCTTTGGGATCCAATAAAGCTCCTGCCTTTGTAATGATATTAGCCAAGTAATCAGTTTGTGGTTGATTACAGAGGCGGAATTAATTTAAAAATCTTCTGTTATTTTTACTGGCTCGGTTTTAGATTTTCTAATTTCTCCATCATATTTTTCCTCTGGAAGCTTTGTAATGGCTGAATAATAAAAACTAACTGAGTTGAACTGACGGACTTACTACTTATCGTGGAATGTGTTGGTTCATTTTCTGCTCAGGGGGAAGAGTTTACTACTTGCAGAGTTATTTCCATTTTCACTTGTTGTGTGTATTAGATGTGGCATATTAATGTTTGTGTGTGTGTGTTAAACATGGTCGATATCTGCTCCCATAGCATGTTACTTGTGGAGTCCAAACTCAAAGGGCAACAGAGTTTGCAAATTATACTGAACTATAATTACGGCTTGTTTGGCTTTGGCAAAAAGTGTGAACTTGCTTCTGAATTTGGTCATTGCAGCTGGTTGAGGGTGCTGATCTGATTGTATTTGATTGGGATGCAGGACAAGGCACCGTGTTTTGCAATCTGAAGAGTGTGATTACACCTGATGTGGAAAACTGCCAATGATTTATTTGCTTATTTCTATACCACTCTATTCCCAATAGTGCAAAGCAACCTCAACAAAGAGGAGGTGGGGGGGAGGGTCCAAGTGGGGAGGAAGGGGCTTCACTTCCTCCTTAGCAAGCCTGACTTTGGAGTTTGGGGCCCCGTGGAAGCAGGGGTTTTGGGAAGTGGTGCTCCCTAGAGGCTGTGAGTTCTCTCTCTGGGCAGAGTGAGAATATATCTGCTGAACAAAACTCCCCATTGGCGACAGGAAGGGTGTCTGGCCATTAAACACTCTGTTGGCTGCATTCCGTTGCCCAGGCTTTGGTCCAGAATGTGTTGGCACAGGCAGTTATGGGTGCACCTGGGTGTGACCCCATGGGACTCCACTACTCCATGAGGAGCTGCACTGGCTCCCAGTAAGCTTCTAGGTGAGAGTGGCCCTTCAGGTTGTTTGTTCACTGCAAGTCTCAAAAACATATGCCTAACATCACATTTGCTCATCAGAAAAGATGCTACCAGTTACATCTGGATTCCCCCACACACACACACACTTATCATAGCTCTCCCTACAACAGCTACATTGAAGATGGCCGGTTGACTCATCTAAATATTTGAAGGCCAGGTTTGAAGGCACATGATGTAGGAGCCTTCCTAAATCTGAGCCAAGCAGATTAGAACATATTCTGCTCCCAGGACCTCATGGTTCTCCAGATGTTCTGGAACTCAACTCTCACCATGTGTGGCAATCAGCAAGCAAGAGATACTGGGAGTTGCCATTCCATGTGTCTGATAGGTTGTGTTTCCCATGGTCTTCTCATGGAAAATTTTCTTCATGTCTCTCTCTATGAAGCCGTGCTCCAAGGTGGACCTTTTGCTGTGTAGACATTCAGTACTTTTATATCCTACATTTTCCTCCGAAGAGCTGTCATTTCATTCCTTTTTATTTCGCTTTGGTCCTACCTGTTCAGTTCTGGGTTTAGACTTTCAAAATTCACAACAGAGACAGGTTCAACCAAGGTCATCACAGACAACACTCAGGGAAAAGGAAGGGAAGGAAGAGTTGAGAAGAGAAGACACGGGGAGTAGATTGCACTTCTCAAATGTATTGCCCTGAAGGTGATCAAGATTTGCTCCCCTTCACCTTCCAGAGCTCATAGTAGGAAAGGGCAATCTGGCTTAAGGAAAAGGGGCAGTTTTTGTTTTGTTCTGTTTTAAATAATTAGATTCCTTCATTTGATACTGAATGATTTTTCTCGGAAAGACGGTGGCGAAGGTCTCCTTCATTGGACCTTCAGGTGGAGAGTAGACAGCGATCTATCCGAGATGCTTTAGCTTATACCCCTATGGCTGCCCTCCATGGCCTCAGCAGCCCTTCCAAATTGTGATTCACAACAGTGAATCTCCTAATTCAGGGGTGTCAAACTCTATTTCATTGAGGGCCGCATCAGGGATGTGTTTGACCTTGGGGGTGGGGCTCATGGCCATGGTGGGTGGGGCCAGCTCAATGTCACTCGTGTCAGGAGTAGCTGTGGTGGCCTGAGTGCTTCTGGGCTTCTAAGCTCCTTTTTCGGCTCTCATGGCCTCCTGCAACCCTCTGCCAGTGAAAATGGAGCTCTAGAGGGCCGCGTGCTCCATCTTCACTGGCAAAGGGTTGTAGGAAGTGGTTGCAGCCGAAAAAGGAGCTCCAGAGCCCATTTTTGCTGGCAGAAGCATCGTGGCCTAGTCCTTCGCTGTTTCCAGGGTGGCCCCATGAGCCACATCTAAGTATCCTGCGGACTGGATCCATCCCCCAGTCCTTGAGTTTGACATCCCTGTCCTAATTGGGAGGTAGGTTGTGTCACAGGAAGCTTCAAGGTTAGGTGAGAACATGAGCTTTCATCTTGGACTGGAAAAAAACAAGACACGGTGGCTCAGTGGCTAAGGTGTTGCGCATGTCGATCAGAAGGTCGGCAGTTCGAATCCCTAGCGCCGCGTAATGGAGTGAGCTCCCGTTATTTGTCCCAGCTTCTGCCAACCTAGCAGTTCAAAATAAAAAAATGCAAGTAGAAAAATAGGAACCACCTTTGGTGGGAAGGTAACAGTGTTCTGTGCACCTTAGGTATTTAGTCATGCCGGCTACATGACCACGGAGACGTCTTCGGACAGCGCTGGCTCTTCGGCTTTGAAACGGAGATGAGCACTGCCCCCTAGAGCTGGAAATGACTAGCACGCATGTGCAGGGGAACCTTTACCTTAAGCCCAATATATTTATGAGTAATGTTTGATAGGTGTGAAAGTTATGGTTGGTCTGTGTATCTTTTTAACCAATGTAGGCAATTTTCCCACTCCAGCATGTGGTAGCAAGTAATTCCATGCATAAATTTTCATGCTGAGAACGGAGATTTCTTTCTTAGTATGTTGCTTCTCAGGCTTGCCAAGATGAAATACTCTCTTTTTTTCTGCCCGGGTTCAAGAAAGTCACAGAACTCTGATCCTGAGCTGGCAAAATACAAGAGCCATGTTCACATCACTTGCAGCATCTGGACAGAACCAATAAAATAAATCCTGTAATTTGCACAACCTGCTAAGATAATAGCTGGCTTTCCAGAAGATGCTATGCCAGCAGGGGCCCTATGCCCCCTTGTGTGTGGGAGGGGGGGGAGTGTTTAAGCAGCTCTTTCTGTATTGGGTCTTCTAGTTTGGGGGGGGGATTTTGCTTTTAATGCTTAGATCAGGAGTGGGAACTTTAAGCCTGGCGGGCTTCAACTCCCAGAATCCCCCAGCCAGGAAACTTTAAGCCTGGTGGGCTTCAACTCCCAGAATCCCCCAGCCAGGAAGCTTTAAACCTGGTAGACTTCAACTCCCAGAATTCCCCAGCCAGCTGGGGAAGGGGGATTCTGGGAGTTGAAGTCCGCCAGGCTTAAAATTGCCAAGGTTGGAGATCCTTGGCTTAGATGATGTTTTGCTTCTGCTATTATAAATGTCAGGAAGTCAAATGGATTAATTATGGTTCTAAATCGAGGTAGTCCTCAGTTTAGGACCACTATTGAGCCCAAAATATGTTGCTATGTGAAACGTTTGTTAAATAAATTTTGCCCCATTTTATGCCACGGTTTTCTTGCCACGGTTGTCAAGTGAATCATTGCAGTTGTTAAATTAGTTACACGGTTGTTAAATGAACCCAGTTTCCCATGGACTTTGGTTATAGGAAGGTCACCAAAAATGATCACATGACCCTGGGACACTGCCACAGTCATAAATACGAGTCAGTTGCCAAGTTTCTGAGTTTTGATCACAGGACTATGGGAGGCTGTAAGAGTTATGTTGAAAACAGTCATACGTCCCTTTTTCCAGTGTTGTTGTAACTGTGAATGGTTTCTAAATGAACTGTTGGAAGTAGAAGACCGCCTGTAGCTCAGAGCCACATAAACCTTAAGAACGAAGGGATCAGACCACCTGCCCACCTTCCCAAGTCTCCGAGGCTTTTATCTTCCTGGGGTTGGTGTGTGTGTTTGTGTGTGTGTGTGTGTGTGTGTGTGTGTGTGTGTGTGTGCTTTTTTTCTTACATTTTGTGAAATCTGAATGGAGGAGATGGGGAGTTTGTGCTTAAAAACGCTGAGAAGCACGAGATAAATGGGGGCTGCCTTTCTTGTGATAGTTGCTTTTCAGCTTCTGGATAAATGATTAATTCTCTGCTTTCTTGCTTTTCAGCCTCTTCCAGCATTACTGCTACAAGCAAGGAGGCATGCGGCACACTTCCTACACCTGTATCTGTGGCAGGTAAAGCACTGGAGGGGGGTTGGGGCATTGATTTCCCAAAGCGTGGGATTAACGTGGAGCTTGTACATAACAATAGGGAAGCTTTTAAATTAAGTGCAGGTTACTTAGCAGGCCTAGATCGAATACAAGGGGAGGTTTATTGAGTGAGGCCCATAAAAATGCAAGACCTTGGAGTAGATGAATCTGGCACCTACATGCAGAGAGCTGGGTGTCACAGTTCCAAGTAATACGTCCATAGCAAACAGAACTCCGATCAGGTAGGTTCCTCAAAGAATAGTTTTATTAGACATATCATATTGGCACAGATCTGGTGAAAACCAACTCTAAAGGTTCCCGTGGTTTTCACCTAATCAAAAGTAAAAGTCCCCCCCTTTTTTCCAAACAGTCAGTCACCAGGTCCAATCAAGGGGCCGTCCGGTTGCCTGGTAACTTCACTCCTCCTTTCTCCGACCACCTGTGGAAGCGTCCTTTATTCCCAGGAGAAAATATTTTGCTTTGGCTACACAATCCCAGCTATCTCTGTTCCCCCCTCCCTATCCCTCAGCTCCAGTGTGGCAACACTGAAGCCTCAGAATGGCTTCAGCCACATCAGCTTCAGGGTTGACACTGATGGGGTGATATTCGAGAGCCGCTGCACTCTTGACACTATGGTAGAGTTCCCCAACCTTTTTGGCTTTGCAGACTGGGGGTTGAAGAGGGAACGTGGGTCGGTTTTTCACACATGGCGGGCAAGTGCACATGCACAGCTCCATTTGCACAAGTGTTGGGGACACACGCCCGCCATTCACGCAAATGGAGCACAAGTGCATGCGCTCACCCATTGCTCACATATGTGGAGATGTGTTGCACTCGCCCGCCACATCTGCAGCCCAGTTCTGAAAGGCTCAAGGCCGGGTAGTGGGCTGGGGGTTGAGGATCCCTGCTCTAAGGGATACCAACAAGAATATCCTTAGGCTCAGAATCCAGAAGTGTTACCAGTTGTGCCTTTCTATAAATCTTCCAAGTTTTTTGCCCCCTATCCTGTGGTCTGTAGCTATTACAAAATAGAATTGACTGTATGTGTGTCCAAGTGGTAACACCCACCTGCCAGTGTTGTGGCCTGTCAGTCACCGGCACCTCCAGCAGCCGAATCAGAGGAGGAGGAGGAAGAGGAGGAGGCGTGGGAGTCAGGGTCAGCATCAAAGCAACCTGAGAGCTCTGGGGGGGGGGGAGAGGGAATGGGGCTGGCAGAGAGAAGGAGACAGAGGCGGAGCCTGGGCTGTCAATTAACCCTCTGATGGAAAGTCAACAGCCCCCAGGTCTGGAAGTGGCTGATGAGGAAGAGGAGGAACAGCTGGGTCCAGTACCTGACACAGAGATGCCCAGAAGGCAGAGGAGAGGAGAGCAGTGGAAATCCATGGGTTGGTCCTTGGGACAGAAGAGCCACCGCTGCTAGTGAAGTTCCACTCTAGCTCTGGGGATAAAAGGCAGAGGGCGGAGATGAATAGATGTGGAAGAGGAGAGCAGTGGAAATCTATGGACCGGCCCTCAGGATGGAAGAGCCACCGCTGCTAGTGAAGTTCCACTCTAGCTCTGGGGATAAAAGGCAGAGGGTGGAGATGAATAGATGTGGCAGACAACTATTCATCTCCCTGCTGGACAGACTTGTTAGCCTGTGGTGAGGGAGAAACTTTTTGCTGGGGCTGCCGGCGCTCCTAATAAAGGAATCTTTGAGTTCACTTGAGGTCATATTTGAGGAGCTGGGTCAGAACAGCCAGTGTAGATGCACCACTTCATTGTTCAGAAAGCAGGGGTGATTTCATCCACTCCCCCATGCCACGGCTACTCTGTGCGGCAAAGGGTGGGCAACCTTTGGCCGGCTGAAGCTCCCAATAGGCAAGGCTGTGATGTGGATCAGCTGAGCCAGGACTAGCTGGTTCTTTATTGTTGGGCTTTGGCTGGGGCTGGGTGGGGATTTCTGAAACTCTTTTGGGGAGGTCAATTCTTCAAAATATCTTTTGGGGCTTACAGGATGTTGGGCAGTTGTGAAATTCTTTTTTTTTTTTTTTACTACTGGCTCTGTGGGCATGGCTTGGTGGACATGGCAGGAGAAGGATACTATAAAATCTCCATTTCCTACTGATCAGCTGGGAGTTGGGAGGCGGAGAATAGATGGGGGCAGAGCCAGCCAGAGGAGGCATTTGCCAGTTCTCCGAACTACTCAAAATTTCTGCTACCAGTTCTCCAGAACCTGTCAGAACCTGCTGAATAGGGGTTTTTCCACAGCTCACAGTGGAACATCCTATCAGTTTTGGATTTGGTGCTGGGGGGGCGGGGGCTATAGAAAAGGCTGGGGTTACGAAAAGACCCAGCCCTCAGTGTGTTCAATGAATTGGCCTGGGGCTCTTTCTCCGGGTGTGTTCGGTT